CACGTCTCTAGCAATGGGGAATGGCCCCTGCCACACGCCAGCACAAAGACACTCAGTTAAGACAGGTAGAATCCTGGCACAACTGTCCGGCAGCTCTGCTGCTCCAGATAAATAGTGACATTTTGGTGCACTGGACCATTGTGTATTTAATCTTTCGCTTCTGCACTTAGCCTCTGAAGATGTGTCTGCCTGCCCACCCAGGGTAGCTCGCTGTCCTGCCTTCCTGTTCAGTGCCTCTTTTGTGCAAAATTCTGAAAGACAGAATTCCCTAATGGGATCCCCCATGGACGCAACAGCCCCTAGGCAGAGAGAGGAAAATGGAAAAAGCAGACCCACTCAGGCTAATGACTCCCTGCTAGAGTGCATTACACAAACCTGTTTTACAGATCTACCCCACAAGACCTAAAGGCTTTAAAATATTTGGAGGCAGATCTAGATCCTCTAGATTATCTAGATAGGTGTGACTACCACCTCCCTTCCTTTTAAAGAGCAAACCAGCTGCTGCTCCCTTCTGTCCCTGGTGGATGATTTCCAAGAATTTCCACTACTTTTGTCCCTCTACCTCCCATTCTTTGCAGGCTACCAAGGACCACTTGACTGCCGATCGCACACCCCTGCCACTGCCTCCCTGAAAACTCTGGCCTCTTCTTCCATTTTTAAGGACTCTGTGATGACACAAGCCCAGAGGACTATTCCCAGGCCTAGAAAGCAGCTGAATTTTGAAATCCCTTGGGACCAGTGACCCCTTTTTGCCCTTCATTTTCTCCCTTTTTCCTTTCATTTTCTCCCTTTTGAATGGGAGACTCTATAACTTTTATGCCCACCCCACCGTTGCATTTTGGTGGCAGGTAACTTGTTTCTTGAGTTTCACACGTTCACAGGTGGGAAGGAATTGTGCCCAAGGATGAGGTCTTCTCATAGCCTCCCTCTACCTGGTTTAGATGATATTTGGGACTTTTGAGCTGATAAGATTTAGATGAGTTGTTTTCACTCTGAGTTGATGCTATAATGGGATGAGACTTTGGGGTGAGGTGAATGTATTTTGCCTGTGGGGTGGACATGAATCTTTGGGGCAGACTATATATAGGCAGACTAATAGCCCCTAAAGATGTCCACATCCTATCCCCAGAATCTGGGAGTGAGTTATGTTACATGGCAAATAGGAATTATGATTGCAGATAAACCTAAGGTTGCCAATCAGCAGACCGTAAAGAAGAGAGGGTACCCTGAATTATCCTGGTCGGCCCAGTGTCATCACAGAGTCCTTAAAAGTAGAAGAGGCCAGAGTGATGTGATGGGAGAAAGACTCAACCTGCAGTTACTGGTTTTGAAGGTGGAGGAGGGCCCCACAAGCCAAGGAACACAAGTGGACTCTAGACGCTGGAAGAGGCAAGAAAATAGACTCTCCTCTAGCGCCTCCAGAAAAGAAGACAGCCCTGCTCACGCCTTCATTTTAGCCTTCTGAGATCTGTCAGACTTCTGACCTACAGATGGTCCAGATAATACATTTGTGTTGTTTTATTTCTGTTCGTGATAATTCGTCATAGCAGCAATAGAAAACTAATACCAGGAGCTCAGTCCCTGCCTCTATAAGCAGAAAAGCACGATCGTTTCGGTTACTGTTCAGCAAACATCCACTCCCCTTACCCTCCCATGGGCAGGTAAGGGGAGGTGCGCGGGGCGGGGGAGCTACCTCTCTGCCTAATTGATTTGGGACCTGGACTTCCTTTGACTTCCTTTGCCCGGTGAAATGCTAGCACATATGCAAGCAGAGGTCTTAAGTGTGGGCCTGACTCGCCTGCTCCTGTGATCTTCCTTGAGAAAAGCACACCCGAGATAGCCCCAGAGCCCAAGGGCACCCCTGAGCCTAACCCCCAGTCTGAAGCCAAGCCCAGCTGACCCACAACCTAAAGCAGAGCCACGCAACCAGCCTGGCTGAGTTCAGCCAAAGTGCGGCCGACCTGAGGACCCCGAGTAAAGAATAAACTCTTACTGCTGCAATCCACTGAGTTCTGCAGTTTCTTCTCATGCAGCAGTGTTATTGGGGCTAAAGCTGACTAATACAGAGAATTCCTGACAAGACACGCAATCAGTCCTTCTTTTATTGATGCAGTCCTGGTGTGTACCCACGTGCATATGCATCGATACCTGCACATGTGAGGATAAACCCACGTGCAACTCTGAAAAGTGGGAGCACATCCATGTACAGCTGTGCACGTGTGGGGTTACTCTCCGTCACATCTGGAGGCATGATGGCTGTGTGTGACGTGAGGGAATCTGTGTGTTCTTATGTCGTTTCTTGGTTTTCCTCCTCAGAACTCAGTCATCCCTTCACTATTAAGGAATCCAGCTTCTGGCCAAAAACCTATGTCTGATTTTTTAAGTATTTTTTGATTGAAGTATATAGTTGATTTACAGGGTTCTGTTCGTTTCAGGTGTAAAGCGATTCACATATACACGTATACACTCGTTCAGACTCTTTTCCATTATAGGTTGTTAGAAGATATTGAATATAGTTCCCTGTGCTACAGGGTAGGTCTTTGTTGTTTACCTATTTTATATATAGTAGTATATATATATCTGTTAATTTCTTAGGCACAACCGTAGGCCATTACAAAGGCTCTCCCCGGCAGGCCTGGCAGGGAGGGATAGCCTCCCCACACCAGCGTGGTACACCGCCAGTGCACGCGGTCTCTCAGTGGGTCACAGCCAAGGACTCAAGCCCCTGCCCCAGCCTGCGTTCCTACCCCAGCTTTCTTCAGAGACCTTTAGTGGGAAGGGGATTGGCTTCGGCCGAGGCCCTCCTCGGGTGCCTCACCCTTATGGGGAGAGGGGGAAACCTGGAAGACACGTCTCCACTCTGCCTCAGGAGTCAGGACCTTCTTGCTCCTAGCCCTTCCCACACTCCCTTCCCCACCCCAATCCCCCCCCTCCCCGTGGCCATAAAACTGAAGGAGCCTTTAGTTCGGGGCTCCCCCAGCAGTGAGAGCATCCCCAGTTTTGATCCACCTGATGGGATGGTGCCCTTCGTTCCAAGGGGAAAATCCAAGGAAGGGATGTCAGTGGTCTCCAGTTTGGCCTCTTCCTTACATGTGGAAGTGAACGATTGAAGCCTGACTGTTACTTTAATTTGGACTTGTCTTAATTGGCTCCTATAACGCCTGGCGGCTCAGCTCTCTCCACCACTTACAGACATTAGCCTGGTGACTTTCGAAAAAGTCACTTTAGCTCTTCATGCTTTGGGTTCTTCATCTGTAAAATTGAAATGCTAACATACCTACCTCCTAGGGTTGTTCCTGAGGATGTGATGAGTTGATAGATGTAAAGCATAAGTAAGTTCTAGCTAATAAGCATTTGCTATTATGATGTTCAACACTGTCCATTTCTGTTTGGAGATCCATATGGTTCTGGGGGTGCCTATTGGCTTAGCCTGGGTCATGTGCTCTACCCCCCCCCGTACCCCTTCCCCTGCTCTAGGGGTCCAGCACATGATCTAGACTAAATTAGTAGGCACTCTCCACCTCCTAGGCTGGTTCCCGGTGGGCATGTGATATGAGCCTGTCCAGTCATAGCAATCCTAAGACTTGGGCTGAAAGTTCTGGGACAGAGACACTGTCTATTTCCAGCAGGACAAGAACAAGGAATCCTACACCCCAGGAGGTGCTGGCAGCCATACTGGGACCACAGGGAGTGCCGACCTCAGCAAGAGGAGACACACTCGAGAACAAAGTAGAGAAAGAGAAACTAGGTCCTTGGTGCCGTCGCTTGATTTCTGATTAAAGCCTCGCCTCACCTGGAATATTTATGTACCTGAGCCCTTTATTGTTTGGGCCAATTTGACTTGGATGTTCTGTTACCTGTAACCGAAAGTCTCCCAACACACAGAGTGGATCTGTGAGCGGCCAGAGGCTCTTGGGAGTGGGAACAGTCTGGGTCCCCAGGGAGGCCAATTCTGAGACACCGCATGGGTACAGGACATTGACTACTGAGTGTCCTTGGGACCGGCTGAAGGAGGGAGGAGAGAGAGGTACACAGGGCTGGGCAGAGGGAGGAGTCAAGCTGCAGCGCAGGTCCAGGAGCAGTTTCAGCCAACCCACCAAGCAGCCCTGGAGCCAGAACAGCCTTTGGTGTTGGCACATTAAGCATCATGGAAGGTGGCAAGAGGCCCGGCTCTCTGCAGCCAAGGCAAAGCCCGAAGACACTGGCAGCTGGAGGCCACCTGCCAGTGGCCCTCCCGGTAACCGGAGCAAAAGCCCTTGCTTGAGGGGGGTCCAGGCAGCTTCCCTCTTAAGTCCATCGTGAAAGAGTATGTGGCAGGGAACAGCGCCTGACTAGGCACCTGAGGATGAGTTGGTGTTCACGTCCATACACCGTTGGGGGAGAAGTGGTGGACAGACAGACGGCTGGACCGGAAAAGAGATGGGCAGCAGCAGTGAGGGTCCAGCAAGTTCCCAGGTGTATCAAGCTCAAGGAATGCCCCCTCCACCCCGGAACTGGCCTCAACAGGTCTGGGCACAAATCAGGTGGGAAACTGGAGTCGCACTGCACCAGGGAGGGGGTGGCCCGGAGCCACAGAACCATGGAGACTCAGGCAGGGGGCGGCGCTCCAGCACTTCTCAAGAAGTTTGGAGCCCCAGATGCAGGCAGCACAGTTGCCCACCCCTAATCTTAAGACAAAATCCACTCCTACCTAGGCTTCTCAGGAAGCCCCAGGCACTGGCAAAGGGCAAAGCCAGCTTTATTGGTAAAAAAGACTTGACTAGGAATTCCTACCTGGCTCAAGTAGCAGCACCAACCAAAAGAATGGAGGGAGGGGGGACACAGGAAGCGGAAAGAAAAAAGCAGCAGCAAGGAAGGAAAGGACGGAGGGAGGGAGTATGAGGAAGGAAGGAACTGCAGACCAGGGTCTGCATGGGGACGTGGGCTTGGAAGGAGAGAACTCAAGGCTCTGGGTGTGGGGAAGAGACCAGGGAGGGAGGGGTGGCCCATGGCCCCGCCATCTAGAAGGGCAGCAGCTCTTCCACAGGGATGTTGAGGATGATGTCCACGTTAGGGGTGCACCTGGTAGGAAACAGCAAAGAGGGGTGTGAGACACCAAGCAGGGGTGCCAGAGCTGCAGGTAGGGGAGCACGGCCTCAGAGGAACATAACCTGTGACCTTACAGCAAACATACACACACACGCATGCACGCACGCGCGCGCGCGCGCACACACACACACACACACACACACACACGTCAAAATGGAAAAGGAACTGGTTTGGCAGGACTCATGTTGCCCCACAGAGCTCTGAGGCCAAGAGGAAACAAGAGCTCAGCTCTGAAGTGCTGGGGCCCCTCAGGACGAGCGCTCTCTCTGGAGTCAGGATGACTGGTTTGCAAGCCTAACTCTGTGTCACCTTGAGCACACTGCCTCTCCCCTCTGAGCCCCCCTGGACTTCACTGGGCACCTATGAAACAAGCACTCACTATGTGACAGACCCCAGGTGAGCCTCGTTTCCTCATCTGTCAAGTGGGGAGGGTCCACCTTCAGTCACTGATGGGAAGATTAAATGAGACCGTGCCAGCATGTAATAAGTGCTCAGTGAATAACAGGCATTATTCTTTCCATAAAAGTAGCAAGAGCGGTGGGTTCCCATCTGCACTATTTTCCCATCTCAGTGACCAGCACGAACATTTACAAGGCTCCAGGATTACATTCTCCCTCCCAATTCTCTCACCCACTCTCATGGTACATACTGACGCACGCTGAAGGATTTAGACGTGAAATGTCAGGATGTCTGCAATTTACAACATTTCAGAAGAAAGAAAAAGGAAGAAATGAAGATGAAGCCAATATGGCAAAAATATAACTATTTCTAAATCTAGATGGGTAACTGGGTATTCATTATAATACTCTCTCGACTTTTCTGTATATTTGAAATTGTTCAAAATAATAGTAAAAAAAGAAAATGCATCTCTGTACTGGCAATGGCCAAATTTCCATCTCCAGTCAATATCTGTCTTCTGATATCTACACTCGTACCCCAAACTGCCTACCTGACAGCTCCACGCTGAGGTCTCTGTAAATTAAACTCAGTGTCCCAGTCAACTGCTGACTGACCTGCGTAAGCATCCTTCACCGACCCCCGGCCCCAGCCTTCCCCGTCTCTGGATCTGGCACCACTACCCACCCTGTTACAAAAGCCAGAAACCCAGGGGTCATTCTTGACACCTCCCTGTCCTTGACTTCCCACATCCAAATATCACCAAGGCCTATGGGTTTACCTTCTCCAATTGTTCTCCACTCCATCCATCTCTCCTCTCTGTTCTGCCACCCACCCTGGCCAAGCCACTCCCGACCCCCCGCTACACACACACACACACACACACACACACACACACACACACACACACACACACACACACACACACACACGACTGCCGTCACACCCAACCAGACTCCCAGCACCTCCTCGGGCCCCTCTCCAATATCTTCTCCACCCTCTTTTCAAAGTGACTCTTCTTGGAATGCAAATCTGATGTCACCACTCAGCTTACAATTTCTTTGCTTTCAGGGTCAAGTATCAAGCTCTTCCCTCCGGGCCCTGCGTGGAGGTTCCTAGGGGCTGAGCTGTCCTGCTTCCTCCCCGTTACTCTCCCCACCACTCTGCATTCCAGCCTCATTCAGCCCCTGGTAAACGTCAAGTTCCCTCCTACCACACATGCTCCACAGCCTCACTGCTCGGCTTGTGATCCAGGGACTGGCAGCGTCAGCCTCACCCAGGAGCTTCTCAGAAATGCTGACTCCTTAGCCCCACTCCAGACCTACCGGTTCAGCGTCTGCATTGTAACGAGATCTCTAGGTGATTCCCGTGCACATTCTGGCTGGAGCAGCTCTGCCTAGGGATGCGCCAGTCCCGCATCCTAGGAGGAGAAAGCGTCTTCCCATTCCTGGTGCCTGCCTGCCCGTGGGAGGGCACCAGCAGGCATACTGCTCCTGGCCTCTCTTTACTCACTCTGCCCCTGGAAAGGGGTACAACGACCTGAGCAGTGAGTCTGGAGAACGGGGTGGGGCATGGGTGGCCCTGCTGTCCCCTCTCAGCAACGAGCAGCCTCTGCAAGAACCACACACTCCTCTGCTCCAGCACAGCTGACCAAGGAGCTCGATTTGCCTAATTCTGGGTTCAGTATTCAGAAGCCAACATATCTGGAGACAGAAGCTGTTGATACATTCTCTGAAATCAGCTTTATCAGAATAAAAGTGAGAGTCTGGCCCATGTCTGCCTTGCCCCTTTCGGTCTTATTTCAATGTGTTCAGAGCTCAGATAAGGACGACGGTGCCTACTCACCACACTCCCAAGACGCCAGCACCACCACCTGGAAATGTTCTTCCTTCAGTTCCCCCTTCAGCCCCTTTTGCCCAGTGAACTTTTACGCATCATCCTTCAGACCTTGGTTTAAACTGTCACATTCTCAGGGAAACCTCTCTTGACCCTCCGGACTCCTCTCTGTCCGGGCTACGCTCTGCCAGCGCCACACCTATACCTCTGCTTCAGCAGCTCTGGGGTCAGTTGCCACGGGACATCTGTCGGTGGCTCGTTCTCGATTACTGTCTGGTCCCCTCCCTGGCTCCATGGTGGCAGAGCCAAGGGTTGCTTGCACTCACAGTGCCTGGCACTCCATAGGCACATCATAAATTTGACTTTTTAAGGAAAATAAGAGGAGAATGAAGAATAGGAGGTAGAGGAGGAGGAAGGAAAGGGAGAGGAAGAGAAGGAGATAGACACAGACGCTAAGAAGAAAAATAATTTGCAGGTGGTAAGATCTGCCCCACCTAGAGAGGCGTGGCCTGGTGGGATCCTCACCCTCAGACCCAGAGGGCCTGACCCAAGGGAGGGCAGGCAGAGAACTGGTTTTGGAAGGAGGGAAGTCCTTCCTTTGGGGCCCAGAATTCTGCCCCACGGAGAGAACACCCTTCTCTCCCTGCAGTGTGCCTTCCAGGCCATTCGTCTCTGGAGCCGACCACCCCACTCAACACTGTCTTCCTGAATACCCCAGGAGCTTAGGGGCGTACCCACTTGGTTGAAACGTGGAATGTGGAATTGGAAGGGTCCAGAGAGATTACCTAGCTCAGACTGCTGGGCAGAGATGGGACACTAAGGCCCAAAGATGGGAAAGGTCACATCTGCTACACAGTCAGGGGCAGAGCCAAGGCAAAAACCCAGCCTCCTGCCTCCTCCACCAGGCTGCCTTCCCCGAGAACAGAGAGCCAGAGCGTGGCTAGTTTAAGCGGTAGCTACACAAGGATCACATACTTGGGTCTCCGAAGCAGAATGTCCGCAAATACAGTCTCTCGGGTTTCCCAGATCTGAAACTGGAGCTGTTCCATCTCAGCCCTTAATATGGGTATTTCCTCCTCAAAATGGTCTATAAACTGAGGAGAGCAGGGGCAAGTGAGAAACGAAACATTCCCCAACCAAAGGGAGAACAGGGCAAAATGAACAAGGATTATTCCTCATCCGTCTACAGAAATGGTCTCTGGGCTTTGTCACTTTTGTCACTGGGACGCCTGGACTCCAGACGGGGGTCCTCGCTGTGCAGGGCAGGGCTGGCTCACAAGTTACCGACGATGTTTGATGGTTCCGGTTAAGGGTGAGGGGATCGTGGAGAATGGAGACAGGTTGCAAATGGGTGGCAGCGCTTGACAGTGAGAATTAACAGGGGCTGGTGGAGATGATGAAGGCCATTCACTCGGATAACTGATGAAGGTGCAAGATAACGAAAATTGCCGCGAGAGGGTGGTGATGGTGGATTTCATTAACACTGGTCATGAGTGATGGTCAATGACAAGAATTAAAGAGGTGAAGACCAGGGCTGGGTAGTGAAATTAAAGTGATGGTCCTGTGGTGATGCTTGGCGATGTTGCTGATGGGTCATGGCTGGTGGTGTTGGTTAATGAGGCATACCCTAGGCCAGCACGAATCCCCTTCTCAGATGAATGATGACAAGTGGCATTAATGGCACTGCCAAGGAGGAAGGCTAACACCAGAGTCAGAGACCTCATGAGTGCCACATCAGGACAAGCCTGACTCCCACAGGTCCTGGGGACCACCCACCCTCCTGCTCTAGCACAGGGGTGACGACCACCTTTGCTGCCCACTCACTTCTCGGAACTTGTCCATGTATTTCAGTATGAGCCGGCTATTCCAAGTCTTCTGTAGGAGCGCTTCCTGATGAGCATGCTGGATTTTCTGCAGAGGAAGGAGAGGTCTGGCCCCCAAGTCTGGTCCCAGGGGCTACCATGCACTGGGTAGCATGGTGGGTGTCGGGGGGGTCTGGAGGCAGAGGACAGGGAAAAAAGCAGGGCTGGGGGCAGGACCTGGAAACCTGCCACAGTGGCTGGCTACTCACCACCACCAGAGACCTCAGTAGGTTCTTTTTCTTATTCTGAATCTGGTTGGACATAGATGCCAGGACCATTCTGCACATCTCACTGAGGTCATCCAGCTCATCCTGGGGGTCAGCAGGAGGGTGTTGGCCACCAGCCCTGCCTCCCACATGGTCTGGCGAGGCAAGGCCATGGGCTCACCTACCTGCTGGCTGTCCTTCACCTGCTGCAGCTGGCGCACAAGGTTGGCAACCTGGACCGACTTGATGGGATACTCACGGTCCATGTAAGTGCTCACGAAGCTCACTTTCTTGTGGACCTTCTCGATCTTGGCATCCAGCTGCTCCACCTGCTGCTCCAGGTCTGAAGAGATCAGGAAGGACAGAAGGCAGGATCCTCCCTCAAGAACCCCTCTGGGGAGACCCAAGAGGCAAAGCGCTCCTTGACCAATGAACTGGGGTCTGGGCTGAAGCAAGTTCACACAAGGCTGGGAGGTGGTGGACAGTTAAGCCCCTAGAGAGCTCTTTACCTTCACAGGAGAAGAGGCAGTACTGGGTAGGAAAGAAACTATCCCAGTGCAAGATCCCTAGGCAAGCCCCGGCTCTGCCACCGACACTGCATGACCCTCACCAAGACCTTCCCTCTCTGGACCTCAGTCTCCTCATACACACGCTCCCCAGGCAATGAGCCCAGTGAAATGGGGCAACACTGGCTCCCAAGACATGACCAGGGCAGGATTAAGACAGTCTATCCTGCCACCCTCCATGGAGGGGATCCCCAGCGTCTGAGGCTGCCTGACACACCGCCCCTCCCCTCAGAAGGCTTCTAGTCTGCCCAGGGGAAAGAAACCACAGGCTCAGCAGGTCTGTGGCCAGTGACCTGTTCCAGCCACTGACTCCCAGAGGGACCCTGGCAAGAAAGAGGGAGGCTGGGATTGGATGCTGGCTCCTAGCTGTATAACCTTCAACAGCCTCCTTCACTTCCCTTACCCTCAGTTGCCTCATCTGTAAAATGGGAGAAAAGAAAAACTTCCCTGCCTTACAGGTAGTCGGAAGGACGGAGAGTGAGCCCATAAAAACAAAGCACGTAGGGCCCGCAAGCACTAAGTGCTTGATAAGTAAGCTGTCAGCTGTGCATCTTAGCAGTCGCATGGGCCTCAGAAGGGAGGCGATGGGCCTGATGGTTTCCGAAAGGGAGGTGCGAGGGGAATGCCCAGCAGCTGGCCTCCACAGAGGGCCAGGCGAGGGTCAGGGAGGCAGCCCCAGGGATTCTTACTGTGTATCTTGGATTCCTCCTTCTCCTCCCATTCCCGAAGCTCACACTTCATCTGGTGCAGCTTCATCTTGTTTGAGTAGATGTCAGCGATGGTCTGTGGGAGTGGGGGCGGGGAGGGGGGGTCAGCTCACCCTAAGCCTCCACTGGTGCGGCCAAAGCGCGGACTGTCAGAGGACTCAGCACTTCCTCAGAGGAGCCTCCAAACCCAACCCCACACATACTGCGTGCCAGGCACAACTCCTCTTCGGGGTGGGTGCTGTTGTGCCCCAGTTTTACAGGGCTCAGAGGTTAACTCAAAGTCTTCCGGCTAATAAGTGCTGATGGGGATGAGTCCCCAACCCCCGCCACCCCCAGTCTGATTCCAAAGCCCAGGTAGGTGGGCGGGCGGGGGGGCGGGATTGGGGGCGGAGTGTGTAAGAGATGTATCCTCCCCATGGAGGAAGCAGCTTGCGCAACGGGCCGGGAGAGGCCGGGAGAAAGCAGGAGAGGGCGCCCAAGCGCTCAGGAGGGCGGCGTCGCGGGCTGGACCGCAACGCAGGGCAGAGGCAGGGGTGCGGGGCCTCGGTGGGGGCTCACCGTGAAGACGTCCTCCTGCTGCAGCATCACCCGCACTTTCAGGGCCGAGCTGTCGTCCGTGTCCTGCATGGTCTTGATCAGTTGCCCACAGAGCTTGGTGAGGAAGTCCTCGTGGTTGCAGAGCTCCTGGTGCGCGGTTCGCCGGTTCCTGAGCATCGTCTGCAAGCGGAGGAACAGGGAAGGGGGGCAGTGTTCCGTGATGCGCGGAGCTGGCCGGAACCTCCGGGAGCCTAGGGACCACTTCCCTCCCGCCGCAATCCGCCCCCTTGTGGCCTCGACTGGTAAATGCCACCCGAGCTGGGCGGCGGTTCCCCATTGTCTGCGGGTCAGAGCACCTTGAATTATTTCATCCTTTCTGAAACACCCATTTTCCCATAATTTTACACTCTGAGGTGGGGATATATCTTACAGTTGGTGGCGCGTTACAGTCTAATTGACAAATATTTTATTAGTGGGTAATTAAGATAAAGGTACACCTTATTATCAATGGCTTCTTAGTATCGATGAACTATATAGTACTAGCAATGATAGAAAACGCCCAAGTAGGAAAGAAGATAGCCGAGGAGACGGGCCTTGTCTGCAGAAGAAGCAGGAGAGGCAGAGTGGATGATAATCGCTACCATTTCTCATCAGGCAGCTGAGCTGAGTGAGGATTGTTTCACACAACAACCCCTGGGAAAAGAATGAGCCTCTAAGGGATTGAGGGACTTGCCTAAGGGCCCCCAAGCAGGTACACATAACCTACAATAATAATAACAACAAGAACAATTGCTGAGGGCGCCTCACTCAGCAGGCGGCTCAGGGTATCAGCTTACCCTCCAACAGCCCTATGTTCCCCAGCTCTATTTTATTGACAGGTGGATGTTCAGGCAGGTTATGTGACTGCCCCAAAGTTGCAGTAGTGGCACCAGAACTCGAAAGGCAGCCTCCTGACTCCCCTTTCCACTACGCTAAGATGAGGAACTGAGTGGGCCTAAGGCTGCAAGGCGGGCTGAACCTCACAGTGATCAAGACTTGGATGTTAGGCCTCGACACACCTTGGTTCAAATGCCAGCTCTGCCACTTCCCACCTAAGGGAACCTGGGCACGTTAGTTAGCCTCCCAGAACCCTGCTACACTCATTCCGTATGTTAGGAAACTAATACCGGCTTCAGAGAGCTGCTGCTATAAAAAACAGATGAGGTAATATTCACAATCAAGCCGCTTAGTGGCGCGCCTCACACACTCAGTGACGAGTCCTCACCCTCTCCACCTCCGCCAGGCTATGTGCTCTCTTCTTTATTCCTTCTGTTCTTCATTTCTCTGTCCTTTGCTAGAAACCACCTCTTCCTAGCCCTCAGCTGCCATAATCCTCACACAATAATGAGTAATAGTGCAAATGCATAGGGTACTTATTGTGAATTCTAAAGTATGCTAAGCACTTCCCATGCACCACCTCACTTGGGACTATTATTTTTGTTTTTGGTTTTGGTTTTTTTTTTGCGGCACGCGGGCCTCTCACTGCTGCGGCCTCTCCCGTTGCGGAGCACAGGCTCCGGACGCGCAGGCTCAGCGGCCATGGCTCACGGGCCCAGCCGCTCCGCGGCACGTGGGATCTTCCCAGACCGGGGCACGAACCCATGTCCCCTGCATCGGCAGGCGGACTCTCAACCACTGCGCCACCAGGGAAGCCCACTTGGGACTATTATTATCCCCACTTTAGAGAAGCAGAACTTGAGGGTCAGAGAGATGCAGTACCTTACCCAAGGTCACACATCGCAGAGCCGTTGTCCTTGAAGTCTGGGCTCCTAGCCACTCCACCATCTTGCCTTCACATCTCCAGACCAAAACATCTCCAAATATGGCCCACAGGGACCAGAAGCATCTTGTGAAAATGCCAGTCTCTGAGTCTCGGGCCCGCTGAGCCCCACTCCCAGGTGATTCTGATAAAGTGTAGAATTAATGACCTCTGCTCTAGAAATGGATCTTCCCTGACCACCAGCTCTAGGGTTGAAACCCTGCTTTGTGCCATCCTGAGGCTTACCCAATTTGTAATTACATAATTACAGTTTGTAATTATGTCTCCCCTTTTCCCAATTTATTTTTCTCCTAGGACTCATCACTACCAAACATAACATGTTTTTCTTATTATCTTGTTTCATGTCTGTCTACTCAACTAGAATTTTACAGCCAGGAGGGCAGGGGCTTTGGTTGTTTTGTCACAGCTGTATGTATCTCCAGCACACAGGACAGTGCCTGGAGCTCCATAAGCATGGGTTGAATAAACTGATGAGTACTATTCTTTGGGGGCTTTAATTCATTTATTATGTGTCTCCCCACTAAAGTATAAGCTCCATCATAGCACAAATTCTAAGGGCCGTGTTCACGGCTGTGTCCCCAACACCCGGCTTGGTGCCTGGCATATCGTAGGCATTCTCTCAGGAGTTGTTGATCGAATAAGTGACTGTCCTAAGGCTGAGGGGCAGAGTCAGGATCCTACTTCATATCCAAGAACAAACCAACTGAGTCATTTCTGCTCCCCTCCTCTGTTTCCCCCTTGTCCCCACAGCCCGTTCTGCACACAGCAGCAGCAGCCCAAGGACTCCTGTGAAAATCTAAGTCAGATCATTTCCCCACTCTACTCAGGATCCTCCAGGGTCTTCCTGCCTTACTCTATGCAAACACAAAGCCTAATCATGGACTACAGGGCTGTATACAAGCTATGTCCTTCCCCCCACAGCCCACCATCTTTCTTCCTCATCACCTGGCCCATCACTGACCTCACACCGACCTCAGGGCCTTTGCACTTCCAGTTTCTTGGCCTGGAACATTCCCCCTCAGATGTCACCACCTTAGCAGCCTTCCCTGACCACCCTCCTAAAACAGTCATGGCCACTCCATCCTCTGTGCCTCTTTAGCCCCTAACCTTATTTTACACTTCTTCATAGCTCTTACCCTCACTAAACATATTACATTTTTATCTGTCTTACTTATTGTCTGTCTCCCCGAGTAGAATGTGAGCTCCCTAAGGTCAGAGGCCACATCACTGGTGAATCCCCACACCTAGAACAGGGTCTGGCGCATAGTAGGTGCTCAAATATTTGTTGACTAAACAAATGAATGATTACAAGAGACAGTATTAGGAACTGGTTAGGAGCACAACTTTTAGAGCCAATTGTCCAAGCTCATGTTTCAAACAAAAACACATAAACCCTTCTAAAGTCAGGATAAAAATAACATCAGAGGGCTTCCCTGGTGGCGCAGTGGTTGAGAGTCCGCCTGCCAATGCAGGGGACACAGGTTCGTGCCCCGGTCCGGGAAGATCCCACATGCCACGGAGCAGCTGCGCCCGTGAGCCATGGCCGCTGAGCCTGCGCGTCCAGAGCCTGTGCTCCACAACGGGAGAGGCCACAGCAGCGAGAGGCCTGCGTACCACAAAATAAATAAATAAATAACATCAGAAATATGAGTTCCTACTTTACGAATGCAGGGCTGCCTCTAAACCATTTTTGCAAAATTGAAGGTTAAAGGAAAAAAAGGTTTCAAGGCAAATACATTTTTCCCTATTTCTTTATATAATAGTCATTGTTCATTGACTCATCACATTAAAAACTTTCCTGAAGAAGTTAAGAATTCTTCTATAGTATTTTGTAGCATTTATAGTATTTTGTAGTATTTATAGTATTTTGTAGTATTTATAGTATTTTGTAGTATTTATAGTATTTTGTAGTATTTATAGTATTTGGTATTTTACTTTCTCCTATGGACACAAAAGCCCCCTCTTCTTCTAGTCATTTCAAACACTTTGAAACAATGTTCAGAAGCCATAAAAAAACAATGGATGGTAAGAAAATCAATTATCAAAAGTTCTATTAGTTGATGTGAAAATTTTTAATAGTAAGCTCCTAAGCCTTGCTTTAAGATGCACTGTATTCCGTGAAAGGCTAATTTACTGGAAATTTTAAAATGAACAAGCCACTAAATTGTGTTCCTAATGCAGTAAAATAAAAAATGATTCTGCTCAGAGGGAGCATAGTCCTGCCAACACATTGATCTTGGACTTCTGGCCTCCAGAACTGTGAGACAATAAATTTCTATTGTTTTAAGTCAAAAAAAAAAAAATTAGTGATTTGTTTCCCTGGGATCCTCCAAAGGTGAACAGCGAGTTGGTTTTATTTGTTCTTTCATAGATGTTCATATATTTCATGTTTTAATGCATTGCAGTCATTAACGTTAAAAAAAAAAAAAAAAGTGATTCTGATCATTTTCCTGAGTCTTAAACACAAAGGCAAGGGACTTCCCTAGTGGTCCAGTGGTTAAGACTCCGTGCTCCCAATGCAGGGCGCGCAGGTTCGATCCCTGGTCAGGGAACTAAGATCCCACATGCCTTGCAGCGTGGCCAAAAAATACAAAAACAAAGGCAAACTGCTGTTTGCCTAACTGGCTTTGACCCCTGGTACTGCATTTTCTAGCTGCGTGGTCTGTGTCATCTCCCTGCACCTCGGTTTCCCCATCTGTAGAAGAGGGATGATGATAAGCGTGCCCACTGGGTTGCTGTGAGGATGAGGGGTCAAGTCAGGCACCCATGAAGTGCTCAGTGCGTGTTTGCTATCACCATCCCCCGCCCCCTGCCCTGGGCCCTGGTGCCTGCGGAAAGATGCTCGTCATACTCTCATTAGTCGGATTTTGGTCTGTGTCTTCCCCGAGTCCAACTTTCCTCTGCGCAGTTCTAGTGGATTCCTCGGCTGGCTTGTCATCCACAAGGTGGGCTTGGATTGCAACCCTAGGGTATAGGAAAGGACAGAGAGAGTGTGAGGGTAGAGGCAGGTCTGGGGTCAGGTCCCAGGGAATGCACCAGCCATGAGAGACCCCAATGCCATCCACTCATGTCCTTATAATGTACGACAGTGAGACTGAGGAATGAAGCTCACATCCATCAGTTAGCTCCCAGGCCCCACTCTGAGCCTTGTTATAAAGGACAGAGAAGCCCAGGAGACTTCCACATACCACAGTGACTGTGGGGTTGAACAGAGGGGAGAAGAGGGGTAGCAGCAGGAGATGGCCAGACATCCCCAACCTCTCCCACCAAGCTGGCCGGTGGCAAGCTCAGAAGGGGTAGGGGTTAATAGCAACAACTAATGAACCAGACAGCCTGGGTTTGAATCTGGATTCTGCCTTCTACTAGCTATATGACCTTGGGCAGGTCACATGACCTCTCCGTCCCTCAGCTTTCCCATCTGTAAAACAGAAATAATCATCATGCCTACCTCACAGAGTTGTAGTGAAATTAAATAAGAAGTTACTATAACGTATTTGGAATAGTGCCTAACCCATATTCGGTGCTAAATATAAATTACTAGCTGTCACTGTTATTACCAATGACCTAAGAATTGGGATCAGGACCACAGCATCATACAAAGGCACAGGAGCCGTGCAAAATGCTAACCAGCTGTCTCCGGAATACCTGTAAAAGCTGTGGTCCTGCCAGATGAGAAGTACACGAAAATAACTCAGATCAGAAGAAGGCATTCGGAGGGCATGTTCTGAGAATCCCTGCTTCCTCTCCACGCATCCTGCGCAGTTAGGAGGCAAATCACACAGATCATCACAAACGCTGCTGCTGCCTTGTCAGCCCCCGCCAACATCTCTGTTGGAGGTGCAACCCAGTTCATTTTTGAAAAATATTATTTCTTTTATGGATCAATATCCTTAATTTAGTATTAAGTGTTGAAGTGACAAAGTAAAATTAGAGTCATTTTGTGTTAAAGTTATGAATTATCTGTATGTATCTGGTATTTAATTGTATTGTTTGAGAGATGGAGTGATTAATAGATTCATTTTGTGGTTCTAATTTAAAATGTGTGAGATTTTGATTTAGATTTGTTTTAAGTTGAAAGGTTTAATACACTCTTATTAAATGTGTATAAATTACAACTTTTAAATGAACATAAGATTATCCATATTTAGAAGTTTATTTATTAGATATACAAGAATTACATTAAATACCCAATGGTTTTGTTAATCAGAACAAGTGAACTTTTTGAAAATGAAAGTGAATATCTTAAATTTTAAAGGTGGCTTAAACGATTTAGGAGAATTTAATTAACCAACTTCCAAAACCCCCTTCACAAGGGTTTTTAAAAATTATAACATTTGTAAGCTGAACTTAAATACTTAGCAAGATTTATCGCTTTAATAAGGAATATTTCTTTTCATTAATGCTGGTAGCCCTGATTTATAATTTTTGTAATTAAACTTTTTATTTTTAAATAAATTCAGATTACATTTACTTAAGAAATAATGCAGAGAAACCCTATGTTCCCTTAACCCAATTTTTCCCGACCGTAACACCTTGCAAAACTAAGTACAATATCACAACCAGAACATTGAAAGACAGAACATTTCCACAACCACAAGGATCTCTTATGCTGCCTTTTATTGCCACACCCACTTCCCTCCCCTTCCATGCTCCCCCTACCTATGTCAATCACTAATCTGTTCTCCATTTCTACGAATTCTGTCATTCCCAGATGGTTATACAAATGGAATCATACAGTATGTCACTTCTGAGATTGGCTTTTCTCACTCAGCATAATTCTCTGGAGATTCATCCAAGTTAGTGAATGTATCAAAAGTTCTTTCCTTCTTCTTGCTGAACAGTACTACATGCTATGGAATGGATGTACCATAGTTTGTTTTTTGTTGTTGTTGTTGTTTGTTTTGGGGTTTTTTTTGCCGTACGCGGGCCTCTCACCGCTGCGGCCTCTCCCGTTGCGAAGCACAGGCTCCGTGACGCCCAGGCCCAGCGGCCACGGCTCACGGGCCCAGCCGCTCCGCGGCATGTGGGACCTTCCCAGAACGGGGCACAAACGCGTGTCCCCTGCGTCGGCAGGCGGACTCTCTACCACTGCGCCACCAGGGAAGCCCACCATAGTTTGCTTAACTACTCACTCATTAAAGGACATCTGGATTGTTTCCAGTTTGGGGATATTATGAATAAGGCTACTCTGGAACTTTCATGCACTTTTGTTTTTTTTCACTTTTTTAAATTTAAGTACAGTTGATTTACAAGTTGTCTTAGTTTCTGGTGTACAGCAAAGTGTTTCAGTTTTATATATATATATACACTTTTCATATTCTTTTCCATTATAGTTTATTACAAGATATAGAATATAGTTCCCTATGGTATACAGTAGGACCTTGTTGTTTATATATAGTAGTTTGTATCTGCTAATCCCAAACTTCTAATTTATCTCTACACCCACCTTTCCCCTTTGGTAACCATAAGTTTGTTTTCTATGTCTGTGAGTCTTCTGTTTTGTAAATAAGTTCATTTGTATCATATTTTAGGTTCCACATATAAATGATATCATACGATATTTGTCTTTCTGATTCACTTCACTTAGTATGGTAAACTCTAGGTCCACCCATGTTGCTGCAAATGGCATTATTTCATTCTTTTTTATGGCTGTGTAGTATTCCTGTGTGTGTGTGTGTCTGTGTCTGTGTGTGTATACACACCACATCGTCTTTTTTTTTTTGAACATCTTTATTGGAGTATAATTGCTTTACAGTGGTGTGTTAGTTTCTGCTGTATAACAAAGTGAATCAGCTATACATATGCATATATCCCCATATCTCCTCCCTCTTGCGTCTCCCTCCCACCCTCCCTATCCCACCCTTCTAGGTGGTCACGAAGCACCAAGCTGCTCTCCCTGTGCTATGTGGCTGCTTCCCATTAGCTATGTATTTTACATTTGGTAGTGTACATATGTCCATGCCACTCTCTGTTTGTCCCAGCTTACCCTTCCCCCTCCCAGTGTCAAGTCCATTTTCGACATCTGCATCTTTATTCCTGTCCTGCCCCTAGGTTTTTCAGAACCTTTATTTTTTTATAGATTCCATATATATGTGTTAGCATACGGTATTTGTTTTTCTCTTTCTGTCTTACTTCACTCTGTATGACAGACTCTAGGTCCATCCACCTCACTACAAATAACTCAATTTCGTTTCTTTTTATGGCTGAGTATTATTCCATTGTATATATGCACCACATCTTCTTTATCCATTCATCTGTCGATGGATACTTAGGTTGCTTCCATGTCCTGGCTATTGTAAATAGAGCTGCAATGAACATTGTGGAACATGACTCTTTTTGAATTATGGTTTTCTCAGGGTATATGCCCAGTAGTAGGATTGCTGGGTCGTATGGTAGTTCTATTTTTAGTTTTTTAAGGAACCTCCATACTGTTCTCCATAGTGGCTCTATCAATTTACATTTCCCGCAACAGTGCAAGAGGGTTCCCTTTTCTCCACACCTTCTCCAGCATTTATTGTTTGTAGATTTTTTGACGATGGCCATTCCGACTGGTGTGAGGTGATTCCTCATTGTAGTTTTGATTTGCATTTCTCTAATGATTAGTGATGTTGAGCATTCTTTCATGTGTTTGTTGGCAGTCTGTATATCTTCTTTGGAGAAATGTCTGTTTAGGTCTTCTGCCCATTTTTGGATTGGGTTGTTTGTTTTTTTGATATTGAGCTGCATAAGCTGCTTGTAAATTTTGGAGATTAATCCTTTGTCAGTTGCTTCATTTGCAAATATTTTCTCCCATTCTGAGGGTTGTCTTTTCATCTTGTTTATGGTTTCCTTTGCTGTGCAAAAGCTTTTAAGTTTCATTAGGTCCCATTTGTTTATTTTTGTTTTTATTTCCATTTCTCTAGGAGGTGGGTCAAAAAGGATCTTGCTGTGATTTATGTCATAGAGTGTTCTGCCTATGTTTTCCTCTAAGAGTTTGATAGTGTCTGGCCTTACATTTAGGTCTTTAATCCATTTTGAGTTTATTTTTGTGTATGGTGTTAGGGAGTGTTCTAATTTCATTCTTTTACATGTAGCTGTCCAGTTTTCCCAGCACCACTTATTGAAGAGGCTGTCTTTTCTCCATTGTATATTCTTGCCTCCTTTATCAAAGATAAGGTGACCATATGTGCGTGGGTTTATCTCTGGGCTTTCTATCCTGTTCCATTGATCTATATTTCTGTTTTTGTGCCAGTACCATACTGTCTTGATTACTGTAGCTTTGTAGTATAGTCTGAAGTCAAAGAGCCTGATTCCTCCAACTCCATTTTTATTTCTTAAGATTGCTTTACTATTCGGGGTCTTTTGTGTTTCCATACAAATTGTGAAATTTTTTGTTCTAGTTCTGTGAAAAATGCCATTCGTAGTTTGATAGGGATTGCATTGAACCTGTAGATTGCCTTGGGTAGTATAGTCATTTTCACAATGTTGATTCTTCCATCCAAGAACATGGTATATCCCTCCATCTGTTTGTATCATCTTTAATTTCTTTCATCAGTGTCTTATAGTTTTCTGCATATGGGTCTTTTGTCTCCTTAGGTAGGTTTATTCCTACCTAAGGTATTTTATCCTTTTGGATATGCTCTTGCACTGGTTTTTGTGTGACCATAAGTTTCACGTCTCTGGGACAAATGCCCAAGAGTGCAAATGTGCGTTTAGTTTCATAGGAAACTGCCATATTCTTTTCCAGAATGGCGGCTCCATTTCACATACCCACAAGCAATGTATGCATGACCCAGTTTCTCCTCGTTGTCAACATTTGGTGTTACTATTTTTCATTTTACCCATTCTGATAGGTGTGCAGTGACACCTCACTGTGGTTTAATTTGCATAGCCCTAACGGATAATGATGTTGAACATCTTTTCATGTGCTTATTTACCATGTGTATTTCCTCTTTGGGTGAAATGCCTCTTCATGTCTTTTGCCCATTTTCTAACTGAATTGTTTTTCTAGTGAGTGTTGATGGTTCCCAATATAGTCTACAAAGCAGTCCTTTGTCAGGTATGTGGTTTGCAACCATTTTCTCCAAGTCTGTAGCTTGTCTTTTCATACTCTTAACAGAGTCTTTAAAAGAACAAAAGTCTTAAATTTTGATGAAGTCCAACTTGTCAATTTATTTCATTTTTCTTTTATGGATCCAGCTATTTGTGTAAAGTCAAAGAACTCTTCACTTGGCTATCAGTCCCAAAGATTTTTCTCTCCTATGTTTTTTTCTAAAAGTTTTACTGTTTTACATTTATTTTTTACTTCATTTCTCCACTGGTTGACTGTTGAGTCCTGGAGCCAAACTGCCAAATATCACAACCTGGATGTGCCCCTCCTACCTGTGGCCTTGGGAGTTACACCTGTCTGTGCCTCAGCTTCCTCATCTGTAAGAGGAGGTGATAACAACAGCACTCACCTCATGGGGTTGTTGGGAAGATTAAATGAAGTGATAGGTGTAAAGTGTTGAGAACAGTATCTAGCACATAGTAAGTGCTTGGGATATGGTAACTGCTCTTGTTCTGTTTGTGGGTGTGTCTGTTACATACCTCACCGCTTCCCCAGTGAAAGAAAAGGGCAAGAGTTTCCTTGTAGATGCTGTTTGAATAGGGTCTAGGACCAAAGACAAAAATTCTGTCACTACCACCAGGCCTTGGGCTTCCCTGGTGGCGCAGTGGTTGAGAGTCCGCCTGCCGATGCAGGGGACACGGGTTCGTGCCCCGTTCTGGGAAGGTCCCACATGCCACGGAGCGGCTGGGCCCGTGAGCCATGGTCGCTGAGGCTGCGCGTCCGGAGCCTGTGCTCTGCAATGGGAGAGGCCACAACAGTGAGAGGCCCACGTACGGCAAAAAACAAAAAACAAAAACTACCACCAGGGCTTGTGCTCATCACTTTATATCAATGACTCTCAACAGGGGTGTTTTAGATATATTGGCAGGCGGGGATCTGTGGGTTCTCATTGGGGGCCCAACTGGCATCTATAGGTGGGGGCCATGGACACGAGATATCCCCCAGAACAGGACAACCCCATAGAACATAGAATTCTCCTGTCCTGCATAACTCTCCTAAGTCCTACTAGATATGACATAGGTAAAACCCCTATTTATAACAATCTGACCCCAGAACCTGACTCTGTTTTACATATAGCCACAAAGAATATTTTTCAGGGTTTTACTATAATGCTGAATTTTCCAAGAAAGCAGCTACAATCAAGGGAAGATTGTGCTTTTTTTGTTTAGAACTTTACCAAGAGATGGGCACCACTTTGGAAATCACAGTTGCAATGAAAAATCCCTCTTGGTATTTTGAGTCCCTGATTTCCCACAGTGTGTCACTCTGCATTTGCAACTGTTATGTTCACCATGACTCCACATCTATGAGTAAGCTTCTGATGACTTTCTAATGTCTTCTAGTGGACTCCATCCTGAGCAGTTACATACTGAAATATACTTTATTTAACTATAAATAACTTTCCATTTCCTTTACAGTTAGGGTATTAAATTAATATTTAAAAATTATATATGTAGGTAGGTTATATTATCTATGAAGTTTATTTCAGGATACTAAAGGAATATTACAAAATATTTGTAATATTTGTCGTTAAAAGGAGTGTTGGGTCTGAATAACAATGCTTTACACAGATCTCATTTAATTCTCACAACAATCCTATCAGGTAAGGATTAGTGTCCTCATTTTACAAATGAGAAAACAAAAACTCATTCATCTCTCTCACTTTCCCAAGAGAGCAGATGGCAGAGCCAAGGTCTGAACCCAAGTCTGCCTGAGCCAAGGCCTCAGAACTCCCCTGGAAGGCATGACAGTGGTGTGGCAGAGATTATCCCAAGTTCACCAAACCCTGTTTTCTTTTCCTCCTGGACACATAGCTGGACTATATTTCCCATCTTCCCTTGTGGTTAAGGGTAGGCATGTGACTGAGTTATGGACACTGGAATATGAGTAGAAGTGATATGTGTCACTTCAAGTCTATGCCCTGAAAAAGAAATACCCACAGGATCATCCATACTCTTGCTCTCTCTCTTCTCTCTCTGCTGGATGCAAAAGTACCCAGCAGAGGACTTCAAGGCCTTAAAAAATGTCATTGCCACAGGGTGAAGGAGCCTAGATCCCTGAACGATCACATGAAAAAGATTACTCCCTCCCCGCTAGATCCACAAGTGTACTTTGACATAAATGAGAAATATGTTTCTGTATTAATACTTGAAATCTGGGGATTGTTTGTTATAGCAGTTAGCCTACCCTGATATAAATGTTGTCACCAAGGGCCAAGAGCATCCACTCCATCCTGTCCCCAACTCCAATAGCACCCAAGTGCCTCTGCCCACCTGGCTGGACGGTAGTCCAGGTCTTCATTTTGCTTTTCTTAGTGTTGACAGTTCGTGGGATTGGAGGCAGAGTAGATGGCTTGGCTTTCTGCTTGGACCGCTGCCATGGAACATAATCCTACCAGACATAACACAAATCAATCACACAACTCATGGGCTCAAATCCCAGCTTACCCCCTTACAGATATCTGTAACCTTGATCAAGTGGATTTACCTCTCTGAGCCTCAATTTTCTCATCTGTAAACTGGATCTAATTATAAAAGCTACCTCCACAGGTTGGTACAAAAATTCCAAAAGATGATATTTGTAAAGCATGTGGTAAGTGTTCCATAAGTGTTAGCTATCACTTTTTCAGCAGCCAGCCATAATTTACTAAGCACATCGGCTGGGAGGTGCTAAGAACTGTGAGAAACAGAAGGCATGGAAAAGACCCAACAGGAAAGCAATCAGAGATAAATAAGAGAGCAGCATAATACACCCTTACATCCTGATAGGTGGTGAGAAAACTGAGCTTCAGAGCCACGCCCCGGGTCCCACAGCAAATGCATCACAGAGCCAGGCCTGGAATTCAGGTTTCTGGATTCTATTGCCCAGGACAGTCACGGCCGTGGGCGTTGAGAGCAAGCTGACTGCAAGCCCAGGGTCAGCAAGCCCCACCCACATACCTTCCCTAGCCCTCCAGACTCACCAGAACCTGGAACTGGGGGTCTGTGGAGCAAATCCCAGCGTGGTTGAGTCTGGAAAGTGTTGGGGCGGGAAAGAACTCCCATCATTCCCAACCCACGGGATGCAAGCAGCAAACGTGAAACTGGCATGGGGTCTCGAAGCCGAAACCTCACCCACTAGGGGACACAAGCCAAGCAGGAGGTGGTGCGCTCGAAGGAGAGGCGGGGCTCGGGAGATAGGGCGGGGGAGAGGGCGGGGTCAAAAGACCTTGGGACAACACCCGGCGAGGACCCATTAGAGATAGGTTGGGCGCAGGCATGCGCGGTCCACAGCCCCTCCATACGCCTTTTACGTACTCGGGAAAGACGCGCGCCATTAGGGGGCAATGGAAGAAGAGTCCGGAGGCCTTGGGGCCCTGGTCTTTTGTGATGCTTATTTGTTCGGCTTCTCCAACTTCCTTGTCTCAGCGTGGGTCGCGCGGTAACCACGGCCACTCAACCTTCCCAGCGAGACCTGCCGCTTTCTTGCCTGTCTTGGTCTCCAAGGAAACGGACGCAGACTACCGAGCGCCTAGAGGAACGAACATCGCAAGGGAAAAAGTAGCTCTCTCCACATTCTTCTCATCGTGGTTTCAAATTCCCCTCAGCTGGCCCAGCCTATCATGCTAAAGAATCAAGTCATATTTCTCCTCTCAGCAAACCTCCATCACTTCCTTCTCCATCCTTACTCTTGGCTAATGACGTTGCTTCCTATTTTACGAGGAAAATCATGGGGCTCAGTAAACTCATAATTTCACATCACTTCATTTACCCACCTACATGCCTCCCTCCTGAGACTATGGGTAAACTGCCTACTGACACCGATTCCTACAATTGAGCAATGAGTCCTGTCCTCACTCATTTTCTCTATGATATTCCCCGGGCAATTCTCCCCGTTTTCTCCATCACCCTTTCCTCTGTATTATTCTCATCGCTTTACCAACATATTTTAATTTCTCCTATTAAAAAAAGTGACCACTTAGCATCCAGCTACCCTCCCGTTTCTGCCTCACTTTACAGCAAAACTTCTAGAGAGGTTTGCCTACTGTTTCCGATTCCTTTCCGCCTGTTCAGTCAGGCTTTCACTCTGCACCTCTCCTCTGGAACTGCCCTTGTCAACACTACCAGTGACCTCCGTTTTGCTAATCCCCACCGTCACCTCTCAGCCCTCATCTTACTCAGCCTGTCTGCAGCATTTGACACAACGGATCACTCCCTCCTTGACACACTTTCTAAACTGGTGTCCAGCAAACCACTCCCTTGTGTTGCTTCCTACCTACTTCTCTTCTCCTTTCCTGGTTTCTCCTTTTCTCCCTTTACTCCCAGGTCGCCCCAGGACTCAGACCGAGCCCTCGCTTTTTCTCTGGCCATTCTCACTACATTTGTGCTCCCTTCCGGTCTTGTGACTTCAGATGCCAACTCTAGATGCCTCCCAGACTCACTTCTCTAGCCTCTCCATTGAATTCCAGACACATACATCCAACTGCCTACTCAACATCTCCACCTGGGCGCCTAAGGGGCAACTCTAACACTGAATATTTCCCCAAAAGCATTCTTCCCCAACTCAAAGTGGCAACTCTCTTTCTGAAGTCATTCTTTTTCATTCTCCACCCCCACTCTCCCGCACCACACGGCATGAGGGATCTTATTTCCCCCCACCAGGGATCAAACATGCTGCCTGCAGCACGGAGCCCTAACCACTGGACCTGGACCTCCAGGGAATTCCCCCGCAGTCATTCTTAACTCATCTTTTGACTCATCCTCATCCCACAACCAAATCTGTCAGCAATACCTTCAAAGTAATCTGGAATAAGACCGCTTACTACTACCACCACCCGTACAAACATATACCCCACTTTCACTCTGGGACTACAGTACCAGCTCCCACCCTTACCCCACTCCAGTTCTCTCTCCACACCCCAGATTTGCTAGATAGAGCACAGATTTTCAAGTGCATTCCAGTTTAAAAAATAAATTGGAAAATCATTAATTAATTAATTTAAAAAATAAAAAATAAATTGGAGGGAGCAAATAATTTAAAAGCACTCACACTCTAATAGGGGAATGTTACTATAGAACACAAGGCCAGAGCTCCCAACCTTCTCCCCCTCTTAAAAATCATAGGAAAATGTTATAAATAGCACTGCACGCTGTGGTCAACAGAAGGGACTGCTACGGCAAAAGCAATCAGCATGGATACTCTGGCCATTCAAGACCCTCCCAGCTGCCCCTAGGGCTGAGGGAATCACTATGTCAGGCACCCCATTTGCAGAGCCACAGCACTGCAGCAGGGAAGTTCTGCCAGGAAACCGATAAGAAGTAGGAGGTAGCAATATGTGGTAGACCTGGGGGGTTGTCTACCCAACAGCCATTCCTCCCCTTTATCCCAGCTAATGGACCCTCATCTTGTTCAGGTGCTCACTTGCTTTAGAGGAGGCAGGTCCCAGCCCCAGCCCCAGTTCCAGCTCCAGTTCCAGCTCTGGTAGTCATGATTGCTCTGAGCTAGGCTTGGTGGGCCCACTTCCCTTGCCATTACAGGTTTGGTCATAGGCATGGGATAAAAGTCTGACCAAGGAGACAGGGTGGGAAGTCTACTCAGCAACTTTGGGGATAGACTGTCATCACACTTTTATAAAAAGACATTGCAGAGAAACATTCCCTTGTCTATTACTGGACATCATCATATCTGTGTGACATTGCTGGAATTGTGGGACTGTGAGGACAGTTAGCTGAAGAGGACATCCTGGAAATGGAAGAAGAAAGTTGAAGAAACTTGTTCCTTAATAGCAATGCTGAGTCATTAAACTAACCAATCCTGTCACCTATCTAGAAAGTACTGAAGGTTAAGTAACAAATCACCTTATTGAGTGTGCCATTGAGAGTTGAGTTTTCTGGTACTTTCAGGCCAGAAACATTCTAATGAAAGCTACATGTGAAAGGACAACATTGAATTCACTCCCAGGTCTCATCTCTCTGTTGTCTTCTTGCTGCACATGGATGCTATTCTTCAGTTGTCTCTGTTCCCTCTTCAAATCCTACCCAGTCCTAAGTGTGAGCATAACTTCCTGGGGTGACTTGGAGTTGCCAGGCCAAGCTTGGCTTTGCAGACAAACATGGCTTCATGGGGGCTGTGGCAGATAACCTTGTGGTAAGTCGAGTTTTTCATCATCTGAACAAACTACAGACCCTGGGGCTACTGCTGTGTAGCATCTAAGCAGTCAACAGTGCATTGGGTTGAATGGTGTTCCCCCCAAATTCATGTCCTTCCCAGAGTTTCAGAATATGACCTTATTTGTTTTTGTTTTTTGTGTGGAACACGGGTCTCTCACTGTTGTGGCCTCTCCCGTTGCGGAGCACAGGCTCCGGACGCGCAGGCTCAGCGGCCATGGCTCACGGGCCCAGCCGCTCCGCGGCATGTGGGATCTTCCCGGACCAGGGCACGAACCCGTGTCCCCTGCATCGGCAGGTGGACTCTCAACCACTGCGCCACCAGAGAAGCCCGAATATGACCTTATTTGGAACGAGGGTTGTTACAAATGTAATTAGTTAAGAGGAGGTCATACTGGCAAAGGCTGGGCCCTTAATGCAATATGACTAATGTCTTTATAAGAAGATAAGAGACCCAGACACAGTGAGAATGCCATGTAACGAGAGAGGCAGAGATCAGAGTGGTGCATCTACAAGCCACGGAGCCCTGTCATATTCATGGGCCATCTTCAGCTTGGCCACATCTGTGTGAGCCCTTGTCAATCTGGATGAAGAAATATCATCAATACTAGTCTGCAAGACTCTGGGTTCCCTGAGCACAGTGAAGATGTCCAACAGGGTGCCCTCCTGGACCCACTTGGTGGTGAGAGGATATAGGAGGACAAACTTAGTCAAGTAGTCCTAAAGAGCCAGAATCAATGTGCATAGCCTGATAGGATTTGCTTGCATGCTGATGAGGTAGATTTGGCATCTTCAGTTGAGCATCTTGGAAACTATCGTTTGGACCCCAAGTCATACACTGCAAGGTGCTCCTTTGCTGGCAGGGTCTGCTGAGAGTCCAGTACAACCTGATGATATCACAGAAGGTGCTCTTGTACCTGTGTTCCAGCTCACTCCCCATGCACGTGCACCAGCCACACCCAATGCCAAGACAGGTCTCAGAAAAATGTCAAAAGAGTTTGTCCATGTGGACATAATACTGGGCTTCTGATCATGTCCCCTTCATGGACTCTACCAGCTTCTCCTTCCTATGGAATAGGCTGATGTTGATCCAGGTCCAGACCCTGAGAGTCAAGTGGCTTTTTCTTCTCTTGGCCTTGGCCTCCTTCTCTTGGGTCGGCTGGCTACACTGCTCTTTCATGAAGAGGTTGCAGTTTATAGACTTGCTTTCCGACATCTGTTGCAAATACTGAAGTAACAGCTCACACATGTGGCCCCACAGCACCCAGCCTTTGCAAGTCCACTATCTTCTCCCTCTGGGACATGATTATTATGCCAGAGAATAAGCATTTGGAGGAAGGCTCACAGCCCAGAGAGTGTAGACATCCATGCTAACATTGCACTACCGAGTGAGAAGGAAACAAAAGAGAAGCAGCAAAACTCACAAAGGAACAATTTCATTGGGGAGGGAGTAGAACATGGTGAGTCAAACATGAGTCAGGGTTCCAATCCCAGCTCGACCTCAATATATTCGCCAGTATAATAGGCATAATAATGCCTACTTCACTGTTTCGTTTTAAAGACTGACTAGCACCATTGTGGTAAAGACTGCTAATGGCCTCCAATACCCACTCTACCTTCTTCTGTAGTATTAGAATTTTTACTGGGCACATGGGCTGACCATTTCACGATCTCATCTCCATGGATGGACCTAGAGATGATCATACTAAGTGAAGTAAGTCAGCCAGAGAAAGACAAATATCATATGATATCACTTATATGTGGAATCTGAAAAATAAAAAAAGATACAAATGAACTTATTTACAAAACAGAAATGGACCCACAGACATAGAAAACAAATCTATGGTTACCAAAGGTGGGGGGATAAATTAGGAGGATGAGATTAACATATACACACTACTATATATAAAATAGATAACCAACAAGGACCTACTGTATAGCACAGGGAACTATACTCAGTATTCTGTGATAACCTATAAGGGAAAAGAATCTGAAAAAGAATGAATATATGTATATGTATAACTGAATCATTTTGTTATACACCTGAAACTAACACAAAATTGTAAATCAACTATACGCCAATAAAATGTTTTAAAAATTTAACCAGAGGGGGGCTTCCCTGGTGGCTCAGTGGTTGAGAGTCCGCCTGCCGATGCAGGGGATGCGGGTT